AACAGCCCCTCGGTGGGATGGGGCCTGGGCAGGGGCTGCCGGCTGGTTTTAGCTCCTGCAGGTTTAACTCCTGCTGAGGGCAAGGGGTTAAACCTGCAAGGGGTCTGTCCCCACCTCTGGGGCTATATGGGGTCTGTTAGGGGTGATCCTAGGTCCAGCCCTCCTGAAGAAGCTGTCCCGTTTGAACAGGAGCTGTGTCCTGTTCGCTGAGGGATGTAGGATGGGCTTTAGGTATCACTGCACTTATCTGACGTCCGACTTGCTGCATGGACTCTTGGTGTAATCTTTTCCTGAGGTGTGTTTGTGACACCAATTCTCATGGGCAGGAGAAGAGCAGCAGGCTGGTCTCATAGAAAAGCTTCTGCAAATTGCTGCTGAGCCTGAATTACATCCTACTGGGAAGGAATTGCTCAATAAAGCTCCAGCCAGGCCCCAGCCTCGACCTGTAAGACCTGCATTTGAGCTCCGTTATCCCCACGCTCCCTGGCTGAAGCAGCTGGGGTCTGACCACAGCCTTTGCAGGGATCTTTGCTGATAAGCACCTGTGCTTTGTATTGCCAGGGATGAATTTGCAGATGCCTCCAACAGACACAGGTGTAACCCACATTAGGTGCCAAAAACATCTTTATTAGCAAAGTGTACACTAAAACTCCAGAGAAAGAGATGCTCACAGTTTTACTACTCTCAAAGGGAGCTCGATACGTTACTTGAGCAGGCGGCCTAGGACTGTCACAGCATCTAACCGAACGGCAAGGCGGCAGTGCTAAGTGGGCTTCTCCTACGGGGGATGCGCTGGGAGCCTGCCAGGGAAAGGGCTGGGGAGGAGGAAGCATCTATCAAACCTTTATCAAAAGAGAGAAGCTGGGAGGAAGGGCTGGAGATGAAGTGTCTGAGTCTTTTTAGCTTTCCGGGATTGTGCTTCTGAGTTTTGTGCTTTATGCCCAGGCCAGTGACCAGGTGGGTTTATCTGGGGAGTTGTGGGATGCATGTTGGGGTTTGCAAGGCGTTCAGCCTTGCTGGAGAAGTCAGTGCCCTAGGACTCGTGCTGAAGCATGCTGGAGTGGCAGGGGCTGTTGGCCCTTAGTTTCTCAGTGGCAGTCAAGTAGGACAAGGATAGCCTCTGTCCTCTCTCCTTGCTTCCCACCTGCAGCTCCCCCCAGTACCACACTGTGGAGATCTCCTCCTCGTCTGGTGACTACCCTTTCTGTAACGCCCGCAGGCTCCACTGGGCTAAGCCCCGTACCAACATAATGATCCCTGCTCCAAAGAGCTGACAGCAAAGTGGCCTTGCGGGTAGGAGCCATGGATTTGGTCTCCTCCAGTTGCTGTGGCTCACTTGGCTTGTGCTGTTCTCGAGAGGAAGCCTTGGCAAGGAAGAGGCGGTGGGTACCGTTTGGCCTAGCCAGCTTGTTGGTGGCCGTAGGAAAGAACTGCTCTGGGTTCACTATAGTGTGCAAATGAAATCTACTCTATGGGAACCGCTGGAAAACGTTGACCTTGGAAGCCAGCCACTCTACGCTTCCTTTCACGGTGGCAGAAGACAGCTACAAATTATAACCCCTGAGCCAATGGCATTGTCCTCTGTCTTACCCTTGCAGTCAAAATCAACATCAACTGACCGAGCTCGCAGTTGAGGTGCCTCTTGACTTCCTTCGCAGCCCCCACGTCTCTAACTTCCAGGAAGCACTGGGTCGGAGAGGTGTCTCTGAATGTCCTGGTGCTCGGAAGATGCCTCCAAGTGCTCAGGGAGGGAAGGGAAACGAGAGCCCCGGAAGAGTCCCTGGGTATTTGGTACCCTTTGGTGGGGAGGCTCTGGGTTCGGGAGAGGTGGGGAATGGTGCTCCTGCTCGGAGTAGACTGTCACGGTTTCATCAGACGCCACATCAAGGTGCATCCCGCTTGACAAGGAGTCCCTGGATTTCAAGTGGAACTTTTCTACCTCCGTGTAGCTTGGGCTCTGGTGGGAAAGGAGGAACCAGGTGGATTATGGCAAAAGCAAAACAAAGTTGCCACGCTCTCTCCTCACCCCATCCAGCTCCAAGCCCCAAAATGTTATTTTTTGCTTGAGGAAACCTCAGAGCAGAGGAACCCACACCCTTCCCTACTCATTGGGCAACGTGGTACCGCTGGAGATGGCAGCGCTACCCTAAAAGCAGCGATGCACTGGGAAGAAGCATCTCTAGGTAGATCTGGTCCCATTTCAAGACCTCTGGGCTTTGCCTGGACTCATTAGTTCTTGGCTGTGCTCCACATGCAGGGAAGCTGGAGGGAGCCGCTGGCCCTCCAGGACCCGTCTGCTCAGGGCAGAAGGAAGCTCGGCCAGTGCTGGTGGTCTTACCTGCTCCAGGGTCGTCATCTCCTCATCCTTCGGGGGCGCGCAGGGAGTGAGCGGCTCCAGGCTCCGCGGGACGATGCCGTACATGGCCAGGTTGTGGGAGGATGGCGAGATGGGGCTGTATGCGGGCGGCACTTGGGACAGCTGGCGCTGCAGGAGCTGGAGGATTATATTAATGTCTGACGACATCCTGGACTCCAGCCTGGGGACAGAGCAGCCCAGCGTTAGTGCAGTGCATCCCGCTGCATCCCGTGAGAGCCAGACCAGCAGCTGGGCAGGGGAGGCACTGGGGAGGAGGTACCAATTGAGCTGCCCGGGGGTAATGATGCTTTGCCTGGTGCTACTTGGCGAGGTTTCTAGGCAGCTTCAAGCCAGCACTGCCACAGAAAGATCAATCCTGCCATCTCTCTCCTGCCACACTCAATCACGCTCTGCCCATTTTTTTTATGGAGCCACACTGGGATCTGGAACAGGGAACTGAACAGAGCTAAAACTACCCCGGAGGGGGAAAAATTGCAATGGTTAGTTTTAATCTGGATCAATTCTCCAGGCCAGCTGCCTGTGCTGACAGATGGGAGCAAGGCAGGTTGGTGCCAACCATTTTTAACTGAGCAACAGAAGGAAATGGAAAAGTAAAAAAAGTCATTTCCTTTTACTTGGTCCTTGACTGAAATGAGCAGCTCTGGCAGGAGTGGGCATAGCCCCCCTCGCAATGGTCCTGGCAGCACTTCCAGAGTGGGTAGGAGATCTAGCCCCTGCTGCCAGGGACGGCATGTTGGCGAGACACCAAAATACGTGTGTGGGCACAGCGGTGAAGTGAGCT